AGAGTGGAGGGGCAGCGAAGGAAAGGAAGACCTTCGATGAGATAGATAGATTCTGTGACTGGAGCGGTGGGAATAAGTGCATTTGAGATGGCTAGGTTGGCACAGGATAGAACAGCGTTTAGAGCTCTTGTACATAGGGTTGCTATGAGATGCAAATAAAACAACAACAATAACAACAACAACAATAACAATTCAATACATCTCCTGATCTCCTGGTGGCTGGTACTAAGTGTATTGAATGTGTATCCAAATAAGTCACTAGTAGTCTCAGTTCTTTCTCTGTCTATCATGATGTTGCCTATAGGTCCAATGGGGAGCATGTTTGAGAGGCAATCCACATTGAACGAAGGATGAAGTGTTTAACTTTTTACCGCAAGTGCTTTGAGTCCTCTTCACTTTCAGCATGTTGTTAGAGGTGGCTATTGCTTGGAAAAGGACATCATGCTTGGAAAGGTTGAGGGTTAACAAAAGAGAGAAAGACCCTCAACAAGATAGACTGACACAGTGACTGCAGCAATGGATTTAAGTGTGTCAGAGATTATTAGGAAGACACAGGATAGGACAAGGTTCAGATCTATTGTTCAGAGGGTGGCTATGAGTAGTACTCAACTTAGTGTCCTCTGACAACAACAACAACAACAACAACAACAACAACAACAACATGCTAAATAGACCAGTGGAACCGAACTGAGAACCCAGAAGTTAACCCTTCTATCTATGGTCAACTGATATTTGACGAGGAAACAAAACCTATCAAATGGGGAAATGACAAACTTTTCAACAAATGGTACTGGAACAATGACTGTGACTATAGGATAGGGTTGCTGTGAATCATGGTTGATACAAGAGGACCTAAAAACAACAACAACAACAACAACAACAACAACAATAAACTGTAACAGAATAAATTTATTTGTTAAAGCTATCTGCTTGTGATATGCTGTTGTAACAGCGTTAGATAACTCAAATAAAGATTCCTGTTTTTTAAGAAATAAAACAATTTTTTGAGATTCTGATTTTTAAAAAACACATCAAAAACAACAAATAGTGCTGGCAAAACTGGACTACTACCTGAAGAAAGCTGAAGCAGGATGCACATCTCTCCCCATACACAAAAATCAACTCAAGGTGGATCAGAGACCTAGGGGTAAAGCCCCAAACCATAAAGGTCATAAAAGACAAAGTGGGACCAAATTAGAAAGCCTAGACCGTGGTATAAAAAGGCTGACAAATACAGCCAGACATACACATCCCTGAGAGGATGAAACTGATAAATGACACCTACTGAGTAGGAAAAATAAAAAAAAGCACTATCAGTCATTTCAGACAAGGGTCTCCTATAAAAAATTTCCAGAATTCTAGAGGGCCTTCACAAGAAAAAGACTGATAACACTTTTCACAGAGGAAGACATTTGGATGGCCAACAGACATATGAAAGAATGCTCAAAATCACTGGCAGTAAGAGAGATGTAAGTTAAAACCACAATGAGCTACCCTCTCATCCGAATAGCAGTGGCAAAGTTTAACAGGACAGCAAGCAATAAATGTTGAAGAGGATGTGGAGAGATAGGAACTCTCATACACTATTGGTGAGATTGTAAAACAACCACTCTGGAAGGCAGTTTGGTGTTTCCTCAAAAAGCTAAATATAGAAATTTCAGCCATTCCATTGCTTGGAATATACTGTGAAAAAATTAGAACTGAGACACAAATGGAGATTTATACACCAATGTTCATAGCCATATTATTTACCATTGCAAGAACATGAAGACAGCCAAACTTGCCAAACACAATAGAATGGAGTGTCTTTGTTCTCTTAGGAGTCCATGGTATATTCAACATTTTTCTCCAGCACCACAGCTCAAAGCCATCAATTCTCCTTCTATCATCCCTAGTCATTGTCCAGCTCTCTGATGCATAGCAAGTAATTGTAAAGACTTAGTCCTGAATCTCAATAGCTTGCTCTGCAGCACAGAGCTGGACAATGACTAGGGGCGAAAGAAAGAGAATTGATGCCTTTGAGCTGTGGTGCTGGAGAAGAATGTTGAATATACCATGGACTGCCATGAGAAAAACAGGTTAGTCCTAGAGAGGCTGAAGTCAGGCTGCTCCTTGGAGGCAAGGATTCTGAAGCTTCGTCTGACATACTTTGGACATGTTGCAAGGAGGCACCAGTCCTTGGAGAGGGACGTCATGCTTGGGAGGGTGAAGGGACAGCACAAGAGAAGAAGACCCTGGATGAGATGGATTGATTCAGTGATGGAGTAAAGGGGTGGGTGTGTCAGACATAAGATTGGCACAGGATAGAGCAGGGTTTAGAGTTGTTGTAAATAGGGTCGCTATGAGTCGCAGGCGACTCGACGATATAACAACAAAATACAAAATGGCCTGGATCAGGTGTATGCACTGCAATTTTGAAGGTACGAGCTTTGAATCCACCAGTTGCTCCGTGGGATAAGGATGGGCGATCTCCTCCCCTGCGATTAACTGCCTCTGAAAACCCGCAAGAGTGTCAGCTATGGGTGGGTCCCATCTCGACAGTACACAACAACAACAACACCAGCACCACATGAGGACAACAACAGAGTTAAGAAGCTACGTTTCAACCTCAAAGGCACAGGCGGTTCAAATCAACCAGCTGCTTAGCGGGAGAAGATTGGACATTCTCTTTCCCTGGGATTCACTGCCTCTGAAAATA